GTAAGACTATGTTATGTTATTAATCGTGATGTAAGAAACACCGTGATGATATTTTTATAATTTGTCAGCTTATGTGTGTGACTGATCCCTGGGCACACATGAGTTTAGTGCATTCAATTTTATTCTTAAAATTGGGTGTGACACCTAATTCCATCCTATGTAATACCTTTGTTTCTGGTCTTCTTACGAGGGATTGTTCATCAGGGATAACCACGAGGAACATCTGAGCAGCAAACGTCATTTCTGTTCAACGGCGCATTACTAGAGTCATGCCCAACACCCCTTCAGCTCTTCGACAGGCTGCATCAGGTAAAATTTGCTGCCCTTTTTAAGCTATTGATAAGAGTGAAATGTAGTATGCTTCTTCAATGACTGAATTTCGTACGTTGTGTGCTTTACCGTGAGAATTTTAAATTAGCTTTTGTACTGCTATACTGCATGAAATTAGCAGGGGAGGTAACAACATGAAACACTATATGATGTTTTTACTTCTCAGTCAGGACAGATGGCTACACAGAAAGATGAAAACTGTGTAAGAATTCAGTGTCATTTGATAGTCTAAAGAGATGAAGAAAAATATTTAGATGCTATAACTAGCCTGGGGTATGTAGCTGATTATGTATGTGACCCTGAAAATAGTGTGTCAGCGTTCAAGAGTAAAAATTTGTGATAACATTAGTCTGAGGTCTGTTGGCTTTAGAGACCACTTAGATTTGGATTTATGATTGCATATATGAATGCCTTTTATGTGTACTGTCCGATTCATCCTTAGTACTGCATAACTTAATTTTTGGTGTAGGTGTGGATGATTTTTATTGCAATTGTGATAAAAAAATAGCCTCTATGGCACCAATTTAGGCCCTGTTTGGAATGGAGTTTTTTCACAGGAATTTCGAAGGATTGCTCTTCCTCAATTTTGCTGATGTCATAGGATGTTTGGATTGAAGGAAAGGATCCTCCCGTTCTAGAGGAAAGTTTTGCTTTCCTACACAAAACACAGGAATAAAAACATCCACCGTAATCCAAAGTTTTCGTTGATGGCCGAGGCAAGCACACGGTGAAGAGAGAGAGAGAGGATGAGGGTGGGAGACAGTCAGACCGTGAACCGGCAATAAAGAGAGAAGGACACAGTACTTCCAAATAAAAAAATACAATAAAATATAGAAAGGTACTAGCTGTGAACCGGCCAACTAAAATCTCATGCCCAAATATGCTAAAAAGATCAAGTTAATCAATCGGTATTAAGCACTAATATGTTTCTTATCTCATGCCCTATGTTATAAATTCTTGTGTTCCAAACAGCCTAAATTTTTTGTTCCTATGTTTTGAAATCCCATAGTTTTTCACTTGTCATCATAGCTTATTCCTGCGTTTTTTCCTATTCCTGTGTTTTGGATTCCTTCGTTCCAAACAGGCCCTTATGGTTCTGTATCTCCTCCATGCAACCAAAGCATAGGAGAACTATGTTCACATAATTATTCACAGTGAGCACATCGTCAAGTCTCCAACCCCAAGCCCAAATCCATAAATTATTGCATTTGGATTTGACATGCTATTCCTGTATTTGGTTCTTGATATTTTTTTTTGAAATGATTTGTAATTTGGACAGTAGATCTGCATTTTAGTTTCTTTGTGCTTTATCATTTAGCGCTGCAGAAACATGTCGAATTTGCAGCACTGAACATATTAATTTGGTCTCCATATGCTACACTCTTGCTACCCAGCCTACGACTGTACTTTGTGCCTAAAACCTATTTCTTACCGTACCTACCGTTTATTAATTCGTTATATTCCTTAGGTGACGGCAACTAGCTAGATGCTTGCTTCCACCGTTTTCCAACATGGGCATTGTTGCATTTCCAACGTCAAAGGCACCCGCCGTCTCCTTAGCATGTCAGCCCTATGTACTCTCAGGCTCAAAAAAGAATGCCAGCCTAAAAACATTGTCGCTCGACCTGGTCTTTGTATATTATATTGTAGCTTCGGGTACACGTAACTTACTATGTCTATGTAATGTCACTGACTATGTACCTGTTTAACTAACTCCTCCGTTCATTCTTCTTCAAAGAATTACATAGGGACGTTAGGATGTGTACTGGGTATCATGCTCAATCCGGTATGCTTGTGTTTCTTTAATATATCCAGCATATTTCCTCCGTCTTCGGTCTTTCCTGTGCCCACCTATGCGCGCGATGGCGCGCGCCCTTCACTAGTTTTCCTACAAAGTCACTGTGTCGAACCCAGGCGCAAAGTCGTGTGTCAACTTCAAGCACTCAGGTCGGCGCCGGATACCTTGGGCCGTAGAGCTCAGAATTGTATTTCCTTCTCAACCAACGTGGTGCCGCGACTCTTCGACTCGCGCTCACCCTAAGCGCCGCCGCCGCCTCCGCCTTCCACCACTGTTGGTCCCCCTCTCTCCCGCTGGTATTTCGCCGAAGGCCGGAGGGAGTGAGGATCCATCGTTTTTAATAACTTTTTTCTAATAGATCGAGTCCAAGAGTTTGGATCTCTCCATGCCAAGTTTTATGGTATTGGGGATTTATCTCCTCTTTAGCGACGGCAAGGGGGCAGGGTGGAATCGTTTTCTCCATGACAGCTCCGTTGAAGATGAGGGCGATAACTACGGCGTTAGCAACTTCACTGGCATGACAACATGAAGACTTTTCTTTCAGAGTGGCGACATCAAGGCGGAGATGATGTCACCGCCATGGAATAGTTTTCTCTGGTCTCTTCTCTATTTTGTTGTGGTTAGATCTAGCTATGATGAAAGACTAGGAAGAATAATTTTCAGATCAGTCTTCTTCATTCTTCGATGGCAGAAAGAAAAAGAAGGAAGACACAAGAAAGAAGAAGTTTCTCAACTCCGCCTACAGGGATGTTGGACGTCGTTCGTTGGGTATCTGTTCTCAAGCCTGTTGCTGAGTGTTTGCCTGTGCGGTCATCTATATGAAGCGACAAATATGTTTCGTTTTGAGATTTGGAGCTATTCACAGTGTGGATATAATTTAGATGAAAATCAGTTTTTGGATATGTGTAGTGCATTGCAGAGTGCTTGTAACGTATTGATATACCCAGCTATTATCTAATATAATTCTTCTTTTGTCGCAAAAAAAAAACTTCAAGCACTCGGGTCCTATGTCGGTTCAAAATTATAAATCATTTTAGCTTTTTTACTAGGTAACATAACACATATATAAAATACATAGCAAAAACTATGTACATAGAAAACCAAAATGACTTATAATTTAAAATGGAGAAAGTATAAAATGCCACTCAGAAATAAATCTACCTGTGAAATCAGATAACTTTTGTTGGGATCTTCTTATTTGCGATGATGCTGGTGATTGCCATGACGAGCTCACCATTCCAGGCGCCTATTTCATCAAGAGAAGACCAATTTATGGTCATTATCTACAAGGAAAGGGGGTGCTTCTTGGTACTCCCCATGACGACAATAACACCGGGTCATCAATCTCATCGTCGATGGTCGCGGGGCAGAATTCAAGCATCTAACATGATGCAAAAGGTTGGAGGTGATGAATTTGCAACCTATGAGAGTGTCGACGGATCTTTCGACTTTTCATTGCACTGATAATACAAACACCTCACATAGAGGTAGGAATTTGTCGAACGAACCACACTTCTTTGATGTACCGTGTTGATGTTCTTTCATCGCTTTAGATGTGTTTTGGACTTTTTCTGGAACGTTGGATACTGTGGCATGTCCAATATTTTTGGGTTGACCATTGGATTCCATGTAATGACTATATTTTGTGGTGTTCAATAAGGCTCTATGCTTCTCCGGTCTAAACACTTCTTCGGTGTTCAATAAGCCAACATGCTCAATATGGCATGTTCAATATTTTTGTGGCATTGACTTCATCAAGAAAAGCCACTAGGAATGAAGATGATAGAAGAATTTGGATGGGAATATTGTATCTTTTTTATTTCAGGGTTTTTGATGTATAATTTGGAGATGTGCTGCGTCAGTTTTAATATAAGTCCCCTTCTGTTTGCAAAAGAAAAAATACCACTCAAAGATCACATTCGGTCTAAACCCTCCATCGATGGTTATCAATTCTAGTAATCTCACTGTTATCTCTAAATAAGTACATGGTTTTGCCCAATTTAAAACCAAATTCTTACCTAATGCTTCCCAATATTATTGTCTAACATAGGCTTGAAACCAATAGCAGGTAAGGTATCATATACACAACTGTATTTTGTGTTCCTATATGGGTCAAACAATGGTAGGCAAGGCATAAGGAGTGGCAAAAAACCTTGGCAGGCGAGGGTGCGAGGCCAGCCGCGAGATGACACACTATGCCATACCCATTGACCCCTGGATCCAGGCTCGCGACAAGGAGAGAGAAGCACCACGTTAGTCGTATCTGAACATGTAGGGCAAACACAACATATATATGGTGACGCCGTGCAAAGCTTCTCTGGTGATCCGACGCGGGGCATGCCCTTAGACCATGTGTTTTCTAAGAAGGATAACGTATTGCCCGTCGCGCTATAGGGTAGTGCGCGACCCCACCACCGCCGCCGCCCACCGCCCTCCAGCGGCGCGGTAGGGTCTCGCTGGTGAACAATCAAATCTTTTGTACATGTGAAGGGATAATGAGTCCAATCTGACGTATTGGCTTCATCCAAATCTGGTGGCAGGCCTGTCGGGAAGCCAAGAAAACGTCATGACACAACGAAGGCGAAGAAAAACAAACTTACCAAAATAGGAAAGATTGCTAATTAACCGGTGAAGATATATATGCTTTGTGGAAATGGAGGCGGCATAATAATAGCACGGTCAGCCATGCATTAACCGCTTCCGATCTCTTTATTTAGACATACACACAAATTCAGGATAAAAAGGCATACAATATGTTCTCGGACACTTGATATACGCCAAGAAAGTGCTAAGCTCACACTCTCTTGTTACACTAGTTACTGGATGGATGATAGTTCGAATGCCCAGCCAAATTATATAGATAAATATCTTATTAGGTCATAGGAACGAGTTGGATATGATAGCCGTCAGGAATTACCATCTCCCCAACGCGTGCTACTTCTCCTCCTTTTATCTCAATCCATCTGCAAACAACCAAATTCCAAATCATCAGTGGGCTGCATGAATAGCTAGGTCAACTTATATCACCATATCCGCATACACACACAATAAATACTGTACCTGTAGTTTGGCACTAAAACTTGGAGGAAAAGGGAAATGAAAAGCTTTGCAAACTCTGCCCCGAGACAAAGCCTTATGCCATCTCCAAATGGCATCCAATTCCTCTGCTGAATCTTTTGCTTTTCCTTGTCCTGTGTCTGCAGAGAGAGCGCAATGTGTCATAGTATCTACTCACAACAAGTGTAATAAAAACCAAACATTTATTTTGACCAATCATATAATGTTAAAGCTTCAAGCTTGAAAGCAAAATAATGCTGAGTTTTGCTACTACTAACCGTCCACCTCCATGGATTGAATTTGAGTGGATCCTCGAACAACGTTGGGTTTAGATGACCCACCATGGGGCTAATCATAACTAGCCACCCCGCAGGGATTGTATAGCCTGCGTGATTAATGAGTAATCATCATATGACTGATCCATGCTCTGTGTTCTCATATATATCGTTTGTTATTAGTGGACAAAATGTACCATTCACTTGCACATCTGTCAGAGTTTTCCTGAAAATTCCAGGTGCAATATTACTAATCCGTGTAATCTCATTCATAACCTTTAGGTGGAACAAACACAATAGTCAACAGCCGCTTTTTACAGCAGCCAAACAGGCCTATATAACTATATAAGTGCTGAAAAGGCCAGCCATGTACGTTTTGATTTCAGTCACCTGAGTAGTGAATGTCATGGACTTGTACTCCTCCCATGTGATCCCAGAATTCCTGTCTTCTCGTTTCTTCAGTATTGCTTCATGCTCCTCCTGGAAAAGGGAGAAGTTCAACAACTTTATACTATAGCATATATGGTTATGTATCCATATTATTTTGTCGACCAGATAATATATATTTGAAACACATAGAACAAATTACCACCTTGAGCGCTTCGACAACTTCAGGGTTGCCTTTGAGCAACTTAAGACCTACGGTGAGGGTTCCTGATATCGTTACAAAGCTACCAAACAAGAGCCCAGACAGTGCGTTTATAGCAAAATTCTCATCTATCAGTGGCTTTTCACTTTGTAGTTCTTCAACAAGGTGGTCAATAAGGTCTCCGTGTTTCTTCTCAGGTGTACTTAGCCTATGTTTCAGGAGCTGAGTCAATTTCTTTGCCACGTTTCTCTTCCCCTGTGACCAAAAAGAAACACATCTATTGATTTCTGTTCCGGAATTTGTAAACATAGTTCAAATATATAGTAGTGTACCTTCATGCACTTGTAAAACGTTGTCCCAGGAAAGTATATTGGGAAACAGAGCACCACCTTGAAGAAGTCTTCGAAATTCTTCCTCAACCCTTTTGACTCCTCAGGACCAATGCCAACGATCTTCTTGGCCGCAAGATCAAATATCATCTGCGTTGTACGTTCAAATCATGGTAGCAAATTAAACATCATTGTCGAATTATTACATTACAAACCATTGGTTATACTTGGACAGTGTCAGTGGCTCAGTGTCATATGCTTACCTCTCCAATGGCATCTTTCACCTCGACGCTAGGCTTGGCGGCCCATGCTGCGAAGCCCTGCTTCATGGCATCCTCTAGCTCTCGGATGAGAGATTCCTTGAGGACTTCATGGCCAAAAAAATTGGACGCAAAGCTGCGGAAGAACTTGTGCACGGGGCCTGTGAATGTGGTCATGCTCTTCTTGCCGAATATGGTGTTTGTTGTCTGCGGGTACCAAAGTCTGAACAACTTGCCCTCTTGCTGAAAGATGAACCGGTTGAACTCTGGATCAAGGGAAACGACCATAGGCTGCCCTGCCAGACAGGTCTTGAACATGGGGCCGTACCTATGTATATGTAGCAACGGCACCAACAAACATTTTTTTTTTTTTTGCAAAGCTAACATTAGCTCGTTAGATGAGCCTAATTAATGCGAGAACGTAAGTACAAACAGTAACACTACAGCATAACAAAGGAGACAATGAGTGAGAGGTATTTGGGCCTCCCAGTACATGTGGGTCGGTCGAAAACAGGTACATTATTTGCGTACCTGAAAGACCGTATCTGGAAAAGAATTCAGGGATGGAATGAAAAATTCTTGTCCTGGGCTAGCAAGGAAATTCTAATCAAAGCGGTAGCCCAAGTGATTCCCACCTTCGCGATGGGTTGCTTTGATCTTCCCAAGGGGGGCTGTGCGACCAAATTAGTACGATGATCTGTCGATTCTGGTGGAATCAACAGGAGGGAAAAAACTAAATTCATTGGCTGAGTAAGGATTGTTTGATGGCGCCAAAAGAGGAAGGAGGTCTAGGATTTAAGGATGTCCATGCCTTCAATTTAGCGATGCTTGCGAAGCAAAGCTAGCGCCTGTGGGAAAACCCAGACTCTTTGTGTGCACGCGTCCTGAAAGCAAAGTACTACGCTAATACAACTGCCGTGGAGGTTAAACCGAAAGCGGGAATGTCATACTGTTGGCGAAGCATTCTACGCGGGTTGGAGCTGATCAAGAAGGGCATGATCTGGCGTATTGGGGATGGGCACAACTTGAACATTTGGAAGGATCCGTGGCTACCAAGGGATCACTCAAGAAGGCCGATCACACCTAGAGGCGCTAATCGGATTACAAGGGTCTCTGAACTCATTGATCCAGCTGTTGGTGGCTGGGATTATGAGTTGGTGACGGATACCTTTTGGGAGGAGGACGCTGAACTGATTTTGGCGCTGCCTGTGCATGGAGGCAGGGACAATACTTTGGCATGGCATTTTGATAAGCATGGCCAATTCAGTGTTAAGAGCGCGTACAAGGTCTTTCGGGCTGATCAGCTTCATGGTACTAATCGAGCACAAGGAAGAAGCGGCAATGTTCCAGATCCGATTTGGAAAAAAATCTGGCAACTTAAGTGCCCAAATAAACTGAAGCACTTCATTTGGCGCTTTACACACAACTCCCATCCTCTCAGAAGCAATCTTGTCCATCGTGGCGTGAAGATACAAGAAAGATGTGTAGTCTGCAATAGTATGGGGAAAGACGGTGGGCATTTGTTTTTCAAATGCACACTGGCGCAGCAAGTTTGGAGCCTCCTTAATTTGGATAATGAGAGAGCAGCCATGGCAAATTTCCACTGTCCGCGGGCTACAGTCGAATATATTGTGTCGAGGAGGGAGGAGCAGAGTTTGATGATCATCACGGCTTTATGGAATATTTGGAACGAAAGAAATTGTATTAGAGAAGAGGCCCGCCGGCGGGGAGCTGAATTTATCGCCAGAAGCAGCAAGGCGTATGTGGCGGAGGTGGAGTCTCTTTCTAAGGCGGATACAACGTCTGGCAATGGCAGAATCGTGAAGGAAAAAGATCACTAGTGCAAGCCGCAGCCGGGAACACTCAAGCTCAACTGCGATGGATCCTTTCTACCTGCTCTAGTTCGGGCAGCTGGGGTTTTCTGATTCGGGATAGCGATGGCGATGTGATCACATCAGGGCGAGGAAAGGTGAACCATTTGCTAGACGCCTTTCAAGCAGAGCTAATCGCTTGCCTCCATGGAATCCAAGTGGCCGTTGACCTAGGCATTGGACATCTCATCGTGGAGTCAGACTCGCAAATGGTGGTGCGTGCTATCAATACTGATGAATTTGTTGATGCGGCAATGGGAAATCTGGCGGAGGTGATCAAGTTTCTAGTTTCGTCTTCATTTCTTAGTTTTGGATGCTTGTTTAAGAGTAGGTTTTGTAACCAAGCTGCTCATGAGCTTGCTGTTCTGGGTCAAATGTGCACCGAGGGGGAGGAGCAAATCATAAGGTCTATCCCTGAGGGCATACGTGTAATCGTTGCTAACGATCTTTCAACATCTGAGTAATAGATTTCGCCCAGTTCAAAAAAAAAAAATCGATTTTTCAGGGCAGTTTTCATTATAAAAATGAAATATTTACATATATATATATATATATATATATATATATATATTGTTTTAGAACCGTTCCTCAAAGTAATTTTAAAATTTCACAAATTTTTAAATTGCCCCTAATTTTACTTTCCCTGAGCGTGCACGGTAACTCGCCACAAGTCTTGCATTTTTCCACGCCAATTCCACATTCAAAACAGTGACCTCTTGGCTTGTGCAAGACCCCGTACTACCACACCATTAGGTCACTTATGATCAAATACATGATGTTGTCCTTTTGTATTAACTTTTACGAATCTTGTGTATTCAATATTTTAGCACCTAAACAACGTTAAATAAAAAATAAGTTTCAACTACAAATTTTTAGATCTCATCAAGTAGTATAAATTTAGTATTGGGAGAGTTTTCATCAAGGTTGTATGAAAATTTGAATTTCAAATTCTTGAATTGTAAATGGATACTTGGCCTCTAAATGATCTCAAATAAAAAAGTCATAAACTACAAAGTTTTAGATCTTGCCGAGCTATACAATTTTTATACAATATTTGTCTTCATCCCATTTTATTTGAAAAAGTTATAAATTTATTTGCTCGGTGGCTATTTTCAAAGGTTGTTGACCTACCAATTTTTAGAGAGGGTTGGCATAATAAATCGCCTTTGAATAATGTAATTTATAGGATTGTTATTTTCATGGCTATAATCAACCGGCCCTAAAAATAGTTATATTTTTAAGGGAAATTAAGTCAATCGCTGCTGAAAATCGAAAATCAATTTCTAAGAGTGGCTCGAAAGTTTCAGTGCAGCAAGACATTTGTAGAGATGGTTTACTATATGAATCATCCCTAAAATAAAGAGAGGTGACTGTAAAAATCGTTTGTGCAGTTGTGTAAGACCTGGTGGTGTGAACGAAACTAATAAATCTGAGTTCCTCAACTCACCTCTTCAGTCGTTGGCGGAAGAAGCTCGGGATGTCAATAGAAGGGCTGACTTTCATGTATTGGAGGGTCTCACCAATAATGGGGAACCCCATGGAGCCAGGAGGGAGCCTCCCCTTGCATGGTGGACACACCCATCTGTAAGCCCAGTGAAGTAACCATCCAATCACCACCGTAAGACAACATAGAACTGCGTATGATCGATTGGCCAGCAAACCTCCTTCCATCCCTAGTACTGCGACTAGAACTAGAACGGGTTTCTTCCAGGCTAGCTAAAAACTAAGGTTTTGAAACTAGTCAGTTTGTCTTGCATGTAAATGGGTGGCCCCTAGCAGCTTATATAGGGCGCGGGAGAAGTCTGGTGTGTACACTAAGGTTTTGACTAAAGCTAGTGATCAGTATTAATTTGGCCCGGTACTGGCCGCCCTATTGGGTTTTGTTTATTTCATGCTGAGTTGGAATCAAACTTTGTACTTCTCGACGTTGACCCGGGATTCCCCTTCGTGCAAGCCGGAACTCTGCATGCCACGTTTGCTTATTTTCTTCATTTCGTGCAAGTTGGAACTGTGCAATGCCACGTTTGCTTATTTTCTTCATTTCGTGCAAGCTGGAACTCAGCATGCCACGTTTGCTTATTTTCTTCATTTCGTGCAAGTTGGGGACTGTGCAATGCATGCACCTTACTAATTTCCTAGTTTGCACGCGTGGCGCATTTAGTTATTTTAGTGTTTGAATCTTCGATTGCTCATGATTTCAGCAAATAAATCAGAACTAAGCATCTCATTTCAAAACGAAAAATGAAAGAACAGCAACCCTAAACAGAAGGAACCCGCGATAGTAGCATGCACAAAATCTCATCGCATCACGCGGAGTGCGTAATATAATGGAATCCCTATTGCGTAGAATACAATCCCATTGCACCGGTTAGCAAGCAAAATCACATGCACTCCGCTGCCTCTAAATGATTGGCATTTTGGAACCATATCAGTGCATCAAATTTTTTTGATTTTCTTGACACCTTTAGGGATCCTTCAGTTAATTCCCTCTCCAAGATGAATAGAGGGGATGATAGTGATTTTGACTTGTAGAGGATTTAATCTCCTTCAATCCTTTTCGATTGTATTATTCAATCTCCCTCCATTTCCCACCAAATCAAACAAGGTCTTACTGTACATTCAAGGACTTCACACTATGCCTAAATTTCATCACAGATGGGCTATAACCCGTCTTAAAGACACTTAAGCAACTGTCTCTGATAATACATCACAGACAGTGCACTAATCAGCTTATGATGTCACAGTCCATCACAGACTCCAACACTTAGACATTTGTTTCACCCGACTGTGTGGTAGAGTTAAGGCCAATCTTTGACGACCAACGGCCTCTTTTGTGTTTTGTTTAGTTCATATACTGACCGCTTGAAGGTCCATCTGTGGGAATTTCTCTATTTCAGATATAGCTTTTTTAGATCCCTATATTTGTGATGACCACTCAATGAATAAAGCCGCTTGATCAGAGACGCGAATTCTTTATTCACATTTCTAATCAAGCAGTATCAAAAGCGCCATTATTTATAACAATCAATTTACAGGTAGTTCAACCTCCATCAATGCCAGTTCACTATATATATGCATCACAAGCAATACCATTACAGGCAGTAATTATATCTCACATATATACATCATATCACAGGAGATCATTAGATCAAGCCACTTACACTAATACAGAAAACATTTGTACTGACGGCAGTTTTTGGATTTCCACCGGCGGTTTTGTGAACCATCAATGCGTAAAGGCCAGTGAAAATTATTGTACATTTATATAGGAAATGCATACAAATATATTTGCACTGACTATTGTTTGTCCATGTGAGAACTGCCCCAAAGTGACCTTACTGCCTATGCAATGAACTCTTTTGTTTGAAAATCTTGCGGGGAAAGCAAGGAACATCACCCAACAGGTTCTTGTAGAAGGGCACAATCTAAGGTTGTTGGCACGATCATGACCCACAAGCATAACTTCTCTACCATTTGACAACAAAAAAGGGCTAAGATTCACCATTGACTGCCTACTAATCACCGATCTGAATTGCAACAAACAATGACCCAGCGGAGACAGACAAGCAGATACTATTTAGACATATGGCACACTCCCTCGAAGTAATCCACAACAATATCCATTGCATCAGCTGGTGTTGTTGCGGCAAAGGATATAGGTAGCGATAGCACACTCATAGTGACGGCGAGGTGGGTTCCTGGCGATGACCACGCGTCAGCCTCAAACCTGGGTGGCACGTAAGGCTCTGGGCTCGCTGCGAAGCTGCGATACCCCAGTTTTTGACATCGCCGGTTCAAAATCCCCCTTCACTGTCGGATTTTGAACCGGCAATAGTAAATCGATAGTGATGTGGGGTTGACATCACTACCGGTTCTTATGAACCGACACTGATGTGGTTTTTAGGAAATCCAAAAAATAGGCAAAAAAAATAAGGATTTTTTTTTAAATTTCGAGAGAGGCCCCGTTGGATAGCCACATGGTCTGGCATCGCAAGTCACAAGTCACACGATTTTTCATGCGAAAATCACATGCTTTGCAGCCACTAGCGCTCGAACCCCTGACATCCTGCTTCGTGTCTTCAGCCCCTAACCACTCCACCTGCAAGTTGTTTGTGTTCGAATGAGATTTTCGTCCTAGCCATTTTATGTTTATCTGATTTTGAAATGGGTATTTAGAACCCTAAATTAATTCAAATGAAAAAATTGTCAACTACAAAGTTTTATAACTTTTCGAGATCTAGAACTTTCATTTTGGTAGTTTCTCCATCCGAGGTCGTTTACAAAATTTAAATTTTAAATTTAAGAAATTCAAACGTAGTTTTTCATGACAAGATGATTTCAAATCAAAAAGTTATCAAATACGAAGTTTCATAACTTTTTGAGATCTACAACTTTCGTTTTTGCTGTTTGTCCATCCGAGGTCATTTAAAAATTTTAAATTTTTGAAAATTCAAACGTAGTTTTTCTTGACAAGATGATTTCAAATCAAAAAGTTGTCAACTACAAAGTTTCATAACTTTTTGGAATCTACAACTTTTATTTTGGTCATTTGATCATTTATTCATCCGACATAGTGGTAGTAACATTATTCACAAATGTAAAATAACTATAAGAGAGATATGTAAATTTTGTGAACAATGTCACTGCCATTTTATCGGATGAAGAAATAACCAAAATAAAAGTTGTAGATCTTGATAAGTTCTACAACTTCTATGTTCATGACTTTTTCAGCCGAAATCATTTAGTGTTCCTAAACGACGTTTGAAGTTGCCATTTTTTAAAATTCAAAATTCAAATAGATAAAACACAATCACATGAAAAGATGGATAAAATAATAGCTGTAAGAACATAATAAATTGATAGAACATGATTTTAGAATTTTTTAGGAAAAAATCATCAAATTTAAAATTAGTATGAGGGAGAAAGACTAGTTACAAGTTATAGCCAGGGATTAAAAAGAGAAATCAGAGTCTTCAATAATTTTAAAATGGGGTTATTGCGTTCTTGCCCCTATTTTGAACCCCAATTGTGATTTTACCCCTATTTTCTTCCACTTTGTATTTTTACTCCTGCTTTTCTAAAACGAAGGTTCAGTTTACCCCTACTCCGTGAACAGCAGGTAACGGTGTTAAAAAAGTTGAAAGATGACAAGTTTGCCCTTCCGAATATTGCATTTTGCCCCTATTTCAAACCCCAATTGTGATTTTACCCCTATTTTCTTCCACTTTGTGTTTTTACCCCTACTTTTCCAAAACGAAGGCTCCGTTTACCCCAATTCTTAACTCAGTTATCTACATCCAGATCAAAAGCAATTAAAAATTAACAAAAGCCCTGTGAAAATACAAACTTACCCTTTATCTCTCGGTCGTCTCTCTCAGGGTCGTCCCTCTCAACGCTAGCAGGCAGCGGACGGCTGGGTGCGGCGGCGGTGGCGGCGGAAGGGCAGCATCGGGCCGTCGGGCGGGCGCTGCGAGCGGGCGCGTGCGGCCAGGTGGAGGAAGCGGCGCGAGCGCGCGTGGCTTAGCCTGACATGGGCGCGCAGCCAGACACGCGGCTCTGCTTGGCGCGGGGGCGCGCGGCTTGGCCGGCGTCGCAAGTGCGCGTCTCGTGAAAGCAGCCGACCATGGAGCCGAAGACCCGCCTCTCTCTCTCAACTCTAGAGGATGGCTGGGTGCGGCGGCAGCGGAAGACCCACCTCTGACCTTCCGACGACAACGACGGTGACGACAACAGCGCCGTCCGCGCCTATGCCGTCCTCTACAGCGTCCGTGGTCCTCTTCGGTGTTTCGCTCGCTTCCACAACTGCGAGCAGTTCGTCGTCGACCACTTCGCCGAAGTACTCCGCCTCGATGACGACCATGACGCCAGCTGCGCCGCCCACGCCTGCAGCACCCTCGATCGCTGTTGAGCCGCCCACGCAGGCGACGCGGGCGTTGGTGCGTGTGCCCGCAGATGCGCCCGCCCCTCTCGTTCACGTCGCCGCTGCCATCCATGTCGCGCCAAGACGCGCGCCTCACGTTCGAGGCCGTGGCGCTAAGGCCCCTCTTCTCCATCGTCGAGCGTTGTGCTCACACGCGTGGCGGGAGTCTGCGCAGGTGCGCGACGACGTTGAGGCGTGCCCTCGTGGCCGAGGACACAAGGCCAGTCCCTTGACCCGAAGGCGTGGAGGTCGTCGGTGTGGCCGAACGCCCTGGACCCGAAGGCGTGGAGGTCGTCCCCGACGTGGAGGTCGTCGGTGTGGCCGAACGACCTTGCTCGGCGGTGTCGTCAGTGCCTTCTTCCTCTCGCTCGGACATCCGACCCTCGCAGCCTTGGTACGGATTGGGAACACGCTGGTGCGGCGCGCCCGGGTGGATAGCGAGGTCTCCTGGCCGATGGCGAGGGAGATGAGCGCCCGAGCAGACTTCTTGGCAATTTTCTTCTTCACGGTAAGGGAATGCGGCGTCGGAAGCCAGGAGAAGATGGACGTGGCGGCGCGTGGCGCGGACCCTATCGCGGAAGCAGATGTGGTGGACGGTATGACTGGTGTCGGGGCAGGA